GGGGGTCACTGAAAATTGAACCCAAAGCCTCACCAACAGTAGGCAAGCACTGCACTACTGAGCTGTATCCCTAGTCCTAACTAAATGCTCTTAAACATCTTTTCTGAATTGTTTTTAAGCTATCAAGCAGGGTGTAGTAACACATATCTATAGTCTTACCTAGTACTTGGGAGCAAGGCTAAGGCAGAATTGAAAATTGGGGGCCAGACTGAGCCACATAGTAAATTCAAGCTCTTTCCAAGCTATGTGCTGAGACAGTACCTTAAGAAAAACCAAAGTAATATTAAGTTTGTAAAACTATTAAAAACATAGGTGGTAGAGGTCAAGAGTGAGCAGAGGGGAGGGGAAGGGAAAGAACAGGAGGGCTTGACAGTCCAATGACAACAGCAGAGCATTTCTAAGGGTGACCAACCTGTTCTGAGACCTAAGTGTGATGATACCTCACCAAAGCCAAAGCGATTTCCTGGTTACAAGTAGATTCCAAGGGTGTAGAGGGATGGCTCAGCAGTTAAGAGCGCCATGTGCTCTTCCAGAGGTCCTGAGTACAATTCCCGGCAACCACATGGTGGCTCACAACCATCTATAGTGTGATCTGATGTTCCTTCTGGCCTGCAGGCGTACCTGCAGATATAGGACTCATCTACATAAAATAAATAAATAAATCTTTAAAAAAAAAAAAAAAAAAAAAAAAAAGAGGTTAGATCTCAAAAGAAAACCCTGTCTGGCTGCATGGTTATGGCTGTTCACCCAAGCAGTGGAGCAAGCGTACTTCAGTAAAGTTGGTTTTTAAAAATGAAAGTCACTGTGGTCTGTGTCCCAGGTTCTGGAAACCTGCAAAAGGAATAGCTGCAAAAGTACCCACAGAGCAGGACGAAAAGTTCGGGGTCAAAGATATGTTTAGTCTGTCAAGACAGAAGAAGGTGGTAGTGGAGAAAGGATAAGATTGACCGTCTTGGTTGAATCATACTGAGCCTGGTGGAGTGACCCAGCGCCCTTGTCTGTGCAAAAGGAGTAGTAATTTCCTGCTCTCCAGCCTTCCAGGCTTGTAGTAAAGGTTTAAACAACAAGTTAAAAGACAAAATGCTTTTTAAATTAGAAGCTTAAAACAAAACCAAAATCAAATGGCTTTGCTTGTACCCATTTGTGGTTGATTTTCCTTGCAGGCGTGTTCAGGTGAGTGGGAAGGTGGGTGATGACTCTGAGCGCAGCCTGTTCCAGCCTCTCACTTCCGGCTCCTGCCAAGTACAGCTCAGATCATGTGTGGTCCTTACTTTTTGCTGAGCATCCTGAGGCCCTAACTCTGTGCCAGGCTCTGGGTGATATGCTGTATTGGACACACCGATAATTAGGATTTGTTCCCTACTCTTTAAGGAGTGGACCACTGTGACACAAGACAGTATGGGAGATGCCACAAGGGAAGCCAGGCCTATTGCTAGAGAACAGAGTTCAAGCAGTTCATTTCAGCCGAGGCCTTTGCATGAGGCACATGACCCAGCAGTGTTCTGGGACCTGGTATGTAAGCTCATCTCTAGGATGAGCCTTTTCTCCAGCACCATCACACAAGGAACAATTATTTGGTGCCAGGAACTGTGCAGAAAAGCCAAAAATAATTTTCTTTGAGCCTGTGGTTGTCTTTGTTCTTCTGTGCATTAAACAATTTTTATGTTAAAATATCAGGAGTGCAGAATGCAGGTATGAGAGAGCCACTGTTTGGGATTGCTTCTAATTTGGATGAGATCAGCAGTAAATAGTAAGCCTTTTATTTCAGTTAGGTTGAGGCCACCATTGAGGTAACCCAGGGCTCAGGGAAGCACAGAGGAACTTTCACCCCCAAGATCATACAGTCCCTCCAGTGAGCCACTGCTCTGGGTTGCTGCTACAGTCATGCTGCCCACTCCTGTATTTAAACAGTTCCTTGGTTAAGCCACATCTGGAATACATGCCACATACCCACCTCCAGGTACTCTGCCTCTGCTACCCTTCTTATGGCTCGAAGACAATGGCCATGAACAAAGGCCACTGAGAGTGAGCATCATCTCTCCTGCTAACAAACTGTGGAGAAGTGTGGTCACTTGGAGTCAGCTACAGAGTATATCTGTTGTCTTTGACAGGCAGGCTCCTTAAATGCAGTGTCCTCCATAGTGGTAGCTAGGCCAGCTACAACAGGAGGTGACTGAATCAGTTGCTTGTGCCCTGTGGCCATGTCTACAATAGGCCTGTAGGGTAACAGGTGGCAGACAGAAAACTTTGTATTTGCCAGGCAGTGGGACCTCATGCCTTTAATCTCAGAACTCTGGAGGCAGAGGCAGGCAGATCACTGTTCTAGGACAGCCTAGTCTACAGAGTGAGTTCCAGGACAGCTAGGGCTGCACAGAGAAACTCTGTCTTGAAAAACTACAACAATAAACAAACAAACAAAAAAACCTTTGTATTCCCTTCTGGGTAATTGAACACCTTTCCACCCCATGCCTTAAGTACGATTTTGAGCTGGAGGTGGTGGCACACACCTTCTGTTCTAGTGCTTAGAAGAAGAGCAGGATGATCTATTTGAACTCAAGGCCAGGCCAGCCAGGGTTGAGAGTAAGACCTTGTCTCAATAAAATATGAATGATAAAGCCACATTCTGAAAACACAGGTTGATTGTCTGAAACTTCTTTGTGAACATCAAGGTTGTTTAAGAGGTTATTCTCAGGAACTGGAAGCCTTCAAATGTGTAAAAATCTGTTCTGTTCCTCTCTCCATGTTTGTATTAGCTGAAACAGTTCGTGGGGACATCAGCATAATAGCTCAGTATCTAGAATGTATGAAGAATACCTACTGTTGGTCTGTTCATTTGTTAAAAATGGCAAAGGACTTGTAGACATTTGGCCAAAGAAAACATACAAATGGCCAATAACCTCATGGAAATATATTTAACATTACTAATCATTAGATGTTAAAGTTATTTTTATAAACTTGTGTTTGTTTCTCAGTTTCTCTCTTAACCCAGCTATCACCAAAATAATTGAGACTGTGTTCTATTATTTTAACAAGCTTCATAGCACAATACCTGATCAGTTAGTACTCTAGTTTTAACTCTCTAAGCTAATGTGGTTTCCTCCCAGCGTATATCGCAGAGATACTTGAACTTTGTGCCTTCCTACGCCAGCTCTTCTCTTCTCATCGCTCTTGGAGTTCTGCTCATGGCTGAATCCCCTACTTCTGCCTCTAACTCCTCTTCCCCTAGCTAGCAAGAACTCTAGCCCTGTTCTCTCTCCTGCTCAGCACTTGGCTGTAAGCTGCTTTATTGGCACATCAGGGGACAGTTGGGGAGCATTGTTTACACAACATTGAGACAGGAGATTCTCAGAACAAAGAATGCAATCAGATGGGGGGGGGCACAAATCAGTATTTGAATTACACAGTAACTTCATGCCTCCAAGAAATGCAAATCAAAATTATAGTGAGATAACTCTCAAACCTATCAGAATGTTTGTTGTCCAAAGATAAGTAAGTAAAGCAAAGAAGTATTGGGCAGGCTATCGAGAAACTAGACTCCTGTCTTCTGATGGCCGTGATATACTGTAGCACAGCTGCTGTGGAAACAGTGTCCAGTAAAGAAGAATTGCCATAAGGTCTAACAATTCCATGTCTGGGTCTGCATTAGTATTTGTACAACTATGTTCATGGAAGCTTTATTCCCAAGACCTAAAATACAGACAGCCCAAGTCGTCATGGACAGGTGAATGGCAGACAGAATGTGGACCACCAGAGCTTGAAGATGTGGATCAGGGGTTAATTGCAGAGGCTCTGAGTTCAGTTCTCAGCATCCATGTTAGGCTGCTCACACCACCTGAAACTCTAGCTCCAGGACATCCAACACTCCCTTCTGGCCTCTGCCGGCACCTACATGAGAATGGGTGTAGTCAGAGGCACAACATACACATGAATAAAAATACCTTGTAAAGTGGATATAATACATATTTATACACACACACACACACACACATATATATATACACACACATCCCTGCAAGTGTGTATGAATTGGGGGTGGGGGAGTGTAAGGGACAAGGTCTTGCTCTGTAACCCAGGCTGGCCTTAGATGTGACTTTTTTCTGCCTCAGCCTTCTGCATACTGGGCTTACAGGTGTGCACCAGCATGTCTAGCTCTACTCTTCAGTTTTTAAGAGAAAAGAGATTCTGATGTATGCTACAATATGCTGAATCTTGACGACATGCTGAGTGAAATAAGCCAGCCACAGAAGGACGATAGCATGTGATTCCTCTTCCATGAGGTTCCTAGCCTAGTCAGAAACCAGAAGAGTGTTAGCAGAAGCCAGGGGAAGGGAATGAGAGGGAATTGGTGTTTCGTGGGTAAAGTGTCAATTGGAGAAGATGAGAAGTTTCTAAAGATGAGTGTTGGTGATGATTGCATGATAGGAGTGCATGTGTGGCCACTGCTAATCACTTAGACTAGTTTAAATGGTAGCTATGTCTTACTTTACCACAATTTAAACAATGGTAATGTTCTTTAAAATGAACATTAAAGACAGCTTTTAAGAGGAATAGAAGCCTCAAATTGGTTGTCTATGGCCCACTTAGAAGATTAGAGCAGCAATTTAGCCTTGTTGGCTGAGGGCCTAGGACATTATGGCATCCAAGGGCTTTGCTCCCCAGACTTTTCTTCACACCCCCTGGTGTAAGTCGTTTCTTCTGTGTTATTGCCCAGGTGCCTTGTAGATCCTATCCCCCACCCCCACCCCAGGTGGGCACTGTAGTGGTAACTCTGGCGGCCTTACTTTCCATGGGGCATCTGCCCAGCATGGTGATTTTCCATTCCAGTCCTGTTCCAGTGTCTTCCTTCTAGGTTTGGGGTGTGGGGGTTGCATAGCAGGTGTCCTGGGACTGTGCCAGCAGCAGCTGATCTGCTGCCCCAAAGAGCTGAACACCAGGAGGAAATTTCCACAGCTTTCCTGGTCCCCTGTTCTCAGGAGTAACTTACCCTCTGTTCTCTGTAGGTTTTCTTTTCTTCTGCCTGCAGTATTGCTGTGGACGCCACCCTGAGGAAGAAAGCAGAAAAGTTCCAAGCCCACCTGACTAAGAAGTTCCGGTGGGACTTTGCTTCAGAGCCAGAGGACTGTGCCCCAGTGGTGGTGGAGCTCCCTGAGGGCATCGAGACTGCCTAACTGCAAATCCTGAAGCCATGGGAGACCCATGTGGCTAACAACCCGGTTCCTCACATATTCATCTGTCCTGGGATCTCCAGCACAGAGATCCAGTCAGGTCCTATAAAGATGGAACTGGAATCCAGTGAATACATTCTGTGTGGCTCCTTTAGCCTGGCCCTGGTGCTGAATTTCAGAGAAAGGTGGTCCAGATGAAACCTGCCCCAGCAGCAATCTAAATCCTTTCTGATGGTGAGAAAATGAACCGTAACTCCAGAAGACCTAGCTGCCCATTCCGTCGCTGGTTAGAGGAGGAAAGAAGAAACCTGCTCCATCCTAGGGTCTGTGGCAGTTAGTCAGTGAATTTTTAAGGTAATGTAGGTTTGCAGTTGAATTTGGATTGTACAGGATTTCGGCTGCTCCTGGTTGAGCAGAAGGAAAACTGTCAGAAAATGGGCCATTGAACTCTCAGGAGCCTGGAAGGGATGACAAGGAAGATGGTGCGTTGAGTGTGACAGCTGGTTGACATCAGTTTTTTCCTCCCAAGTCCCCTTCTGCCTAGAAACCTCAGTGGTTGATACTCCAGAATTGGCCCCTGGTCTTGGGGACCCTGCTGGTACTATCACATTTCAATCTGGGGCCTCACACTCTGAAGTGGGACATGGAAGCCTCCCACATGTTCCCATTTTTCACTAAGGCTACCATGACTTTTCTGAAGACTTAGAAACCAACAACAAAAGGAAAAGTTCTTGCTCCAAGCCTGCTTCTTAGGCCCTATTAAACTTCGGCCTTTTCCTCAGAGCCATGGAGATAGCTGGGTAGCTTAAAATTATCCCTGGCCCTCTGTGGGGTTCTCATCGGTGTTGTCATGTTTCTGGGGTTAGGGAATCTTGAGGGCACACCCATTGTGCTATGTGGGCAGAGTTCTGTCTCAAAAAAACGGTTCCCAGGCCCTCCACCCTGACCTCAGGCTGTTTGCTATGCTCTGGAATCCCAGTGCTATCCTCTTCTGAGGCTCAAGCTCACAGCAGGTCTCTGAATGAGAGCCCTGCTGTTTAAGGCTTTTGGTTCCTCTTGTTTCCTTGGAGATGTTTTTCTAAGAGCATAACGCACATTAAAGTCTTTGAGTTGGGACTAATCCCCCTGTGTGAGTCTCTTACAGCTAATCTGCCCAGTTTCCAAAGTAGCCAGGCTGCTGTCCGTAGACAACACATCTACCCGCACAGCGCACCTAGGAGACCCTGCTCAGGCCCTGCAGTCTCTGGAGAAGGCAGGCACCCAGCTTTGCCTCCGTTTCCCATGAGAAACACACCCTGTAGCGCCATACATTAGCCTCAAGTTTCGCCTTGTAGGAATTGCTGTTCCTTTGTCCTGCAAAGCCCACTCATCAAAACTACCTGGGGAGTGTGGTAAAAGAGCTTCCCAAGAATGAAGCTCTGATGCATGCCACAGCATGGATGAGCCTTGTGCCTGGGGAGACGGTCAGTGGCTAAAGAGCTTGCTGTGTAGGCACAGGGACCTGCAGACCCCCAGAACTCAGGTGCAGAGCCAGGGTTGTGGTCCCAGCGCTGCAGGGGCAGGAGGGCCAGGGGCTCTCTGCTCAGCCAGAAATTGGTGAGCTGCAGGTTCAGGGAGAGACCCTGTCTCAAAAACAGAGTGGAAAGTGATGCAAGACATCTGGTGTCAACATCTGACCCCCACACCTGCACACAATTGTACCGAACGACCACACATTCACAAACATGGAAACGACGTGTGCTGAGAAAGGGAGACCAAGCAACAAGCATTCCATGTATGTGCATTATCCAGCCTAAGCAGATCCATGGGGTCACAGGACTTCCTACAGGGTGGACTTTGAAGCAGTGGTTTGGGGTGGGACACTTGTGAAAGCACAGGCTCCCGTCTTACTCCAAAAGGATTCAGGGGCTTGAGTTCTGAGGTACACTCAGTTCTGAGTGACACATTAAGCAGTAACACATCATACTTGGTGCCAGGAGCACCTCTGGGAGAATATGTGTCTCCCACTGTCCATGTGAGGACAGCACCTTGGAGTTGGACCATTCCCCGAGTGTTGCTGTGTCTCCCCAAATGCCCCTCTCTATGAGCTTAAAACAGGCTGAACAAGAGGAGCTGCTGTTTGAAAGTGCTCTGTTCTGTTACCTCACTTAATCCTTACAGCAGTGTGTGTCCAGTCTAACTAGCAGCTATCCCCGTTGGACTTGTATGAAAATAAGCTCAGAGAATATTTTTCCAGGGTTGCACAGCAGTAAGGAGTGAGGACAAGAAAAAGGCCTGTGCTTACTGGCACCCGTAGCCCACTCTGTACTGTGTTCACAGCTATGGTTTACCTTCACTGCCCTTTCACGTATAGGGCAGCCTCCGCCTCCCTCTACCTTTGCCCTCCGGTCCAGGCCTTGGCTTTGTTAACTAGTAGCTGTGTGACCTTGGGCAAAAATTTTTGGGAGCCTCAGCCACCTTATATAGAATTAGCTTCGACTTAGAGGTTCTGATAAAATTTTCCCAGGCTCTTCCAAGTCTTAGAAGTTGGCCCTGGGTTCTACAAATTTCAGAAGGGGCATTACATCCATACAAGGCAGTGTGTCTGGGGCATGAAACAATAGCTTTCTTGTTTGCAGCAGAAATGATAGAACTTTGGGGCTTTGCATGTTTCTCCCCCTACCCCCGTGTCTGAGGGTCTTTTTTACATATGTATGTGTGTGTGTATGGAGGTCAGGATAACTCTCAGGAATTGACTTTCTCTTACCACCATGTTGGTCTAAGGATTAGACTTCACCATCCTGTGTGAGGAATAAGGAATCTGAAAACAAGCTAATTCTCACACAGTGCTTGCGGTGTTTATGGAAAAGAGCTGTCAAAGTCAAATCCTCAGCATGGCTGTTCTCTGAGCTCTTTTCCAGTTTCAACACATCCAGAAGTGTAGCTATTGGCAAGACCTGGCCTGGTTTTCAGATCTCAAATGCAGGCCTCCTGGGGCCTGGCTCTTATTTGCAAGGCTGGGTTATCCTATTAACAGAAGCAGCAGCAGCAGTGACTTAACCAACCCCATGACAAGCTCTTCTTTCCGTGAGCCTGTTTCTCACATCTCAGTGCTTGAACAGTGGAAGAGTTCCCTGCTGCTGATTGCCTCTTACTGTCAGTAATTATGTCCCCAACGTCATCCCTTGTAAATATTATTTACTATCCCCAGGGCACTGTGACATGCTGGTCTCTCCAGCTAATCAGATGTTGGCTTTCCAGTCACTGCTGAAGTGACTGGGAACAGCCATGGTCAAAACCAACACTTGAGTCACACCTGCAGATTCAAGGCAAAACACGATGACAGTGCGCCGCCCGGGGAATCCTGGAAGCCATGTGGTTCTTAACAGTCTCCATTTCCTGCTGACCACAGACCTCTCAGATCTTGTGTCTCCTCCGGGCAGGCTTAGTCTCATTGAATCCATCTAGACCTTTCTTGCTATGAAGTGGCCAGGATCTCATTCTCCCCCAAAGCCCTGGTCTCCTGCTGTGGGTGGGAGAAGAGAATAAGAGAAATTAAGGGTCCTGGCAAGGTGAGCAAAGATACTTCCATTTGAATGAGGTAATTTCTGAGCAAAGGTCAGAAGGGAACAAGGTATCTGGAGAAAGGATTCTAGGCAGAAGGAACAGAACACACAGGCCCTGGGACCGGGGGCAAAGATTAGGATGAGGAGAGCAGAACAATGAGAGTGGAGAATAGAAGGAATTGGGCGGAAGGGGACCAAACTGCCCATGGCTTACCAGGCTGTCGTAGTTAGGCGTGTAGGTAGGAGAGATGTGAGTGGACTTGTGTTTGGCAGTTGCTGTAAGCTGCTGTGTTGGATAGGACTGTAGTGGGGAGGGTGGAGACAGGCAACCCTTTGTGGAGCCAGTGTGACAACCTATGTGACTCTCCAGGGGAGAGGTGACCAGGTGGCCCAGTCAGGGGAATGCCCTGCTCTGGGCACCACCAGGCCAGATCACCCCCCAGAAGGCCGGGTCATCGCTGACGCTCTGAAGTCAAAGACTACTCCAAGGTGTTTATTGTCTGTTCTTCCAGTCTCTCCGTGACTTTGACAGCCCTACTGATTCTCACAGATTCATGGCCCCTGTGGGAAGGTGGGGCAGTGAGGAAGTGCTGGGAAGTCTGTCCCAGGTTTGGGAGACAGGATGGCAGTAGAAGACTCCGGATTGCTGTGTTGAGAAGCACCAGGTAAGTCAGGCCCAGATAGGCTGTGGTCACACCTGTGTGGGTGCCCTGAGGGGCACAGAAGGTCTCTGCAGGACTAACAGTGGGTGAATGCTCCCTGGTCAGGGGCCACTCAGACATTTCTTGTAATGACTGGGACTAGTGTGTGTTGGGGTCCCTACTCACTGGTAACTGCACTCACCCTTCGATTACTGTCCCCAGTCTAGAGCGCCGGTGCTTTAGGGACAGTGTCTTCCTTTCCTGTACGGAGAAGGGAGCCAGGGTCAAAGCAGCAAGGGGACCTCCTCTCAGCCACCTGCCCTTGCCACTCAGCAGCATTCCTCAGTCTCTATTCCACAGGCACACAGTCTGTGACATAAGGACAGGGGTTCTGAGGCCACACCTCACAGCCTATGTTGTCACTTGGCAAGGTGGTAGGCAGACCCCTGCCTCTCGCTCATGTTTCACACCAGGCTCTCTGTGTCCATATCTGGCCTGTGGAAACTCTGGACCAGACACCAGAGGCAGGAACAGCATCTGACCCAGGGAAAGCCATCTCTGCTCTGCTGCTGTGGACCTTGAGCTACCAAGGAGCGGCCTCAGCTAGAATGTCCCACACAGAGCCTCTCCTCCCTTAGGTCATGTCCCACCGGAGTTGCTGGGGAGTTTTGCAGAGAAAGACACTGCAAATGAGGGACGAGTACTTCTCTGTTGCTGGGATAAAACACCTCCGTCAAGGCAGCTTCCAGGGACTTACAGTTCTTGATGGATGGGTCCAATGCCACCACTGTATAATCAGGAAGCAAAGAGTGGGCTTGGAATGGTGTGTGGCTCATGACACTTCAAAGCTCACCCCCAGTGACACACCTCCTGTCACACCTCCTAAGCCTCCCCAAATAGTGCCATCAACTGGGGACCGAGAATTCAAATGTTGGCGACCAAAAGGGACATGTCATCCAAACCACTACAGAGGGCTTCTGAGGCCTGGCCCTCCCTGCTCCTGAACGAGGCAAACATTCCAAGTGGAGCGGCCTGAGCTGGAGACCAGGCTGAGGGGTGACAGGTCACGGATGCTGTGTCTGAAGAAAGCTGTCTTCCTTCATCCTCTTGGAAAGTTATCTGTTTTGTACATTTTTCTCCAGTGTCTTCGGGTGATTTTGGAAATACCTTATGAATACTGTTTCTTTCTTACTATTAATTTGTTTATTTTTGAGACAGGGTCTCACTATGCAGCCCTGGCTGATCTGGAGCCTGCTATGTAGACCAGACTAGCTTCAAACCTACAGAGATCCACCTGGCTCTGCCTCTTTCTCCCAAGTGCTGGGATTAAAGATGTACATCACCAAGCCCAGCATGAAATACCTTAGTGCTGTAAGTATCAGTGCCAGCTACTTTGCAGGTCTGTGACATTTGGAAATACATGCTTGACTTTGTGCCACATCTCAAGACTTCCCTTTCAACCCAACTTTTCCCATCACCTTAATGCCTGAAAGTCCATTCCCATCTCAAGATGAAATGCACATTAACCTACATTTTGTTCCAGTTTTCCCCAGTGCCGCCCCCCCCCCCCTTGCCACAGTACAAATCTCTTTCTGTAACCCTGCTCTGCCCAGCCCCACCGCTGCCTCTCATGCTCAGGTCTGTTCTTCATTTTTTTTCCTTCCTCCATTTGAAGTCCAGTCACACTGGCTCCAGCCTGTCCTTTCCTCGGCCACCAAGGGCTCCTCACGAGCCCTGCCATCCCCTCATGGTGTTCAATTCTAAGTGCACACACCCAGCCCTTAGAACTGCGGCCTGGACGTATGTGTGCAGTCCTCCTGATGCTTCACCCCCAGACAGTTGTTCACATTCTGCCTCCTGGACTCTCGGTGGGAAGTCACTTTACTGAATGGATGATTCTCTCTCTCTCTTCCTGCCTCTCTCTCCCTCTCTCC